CCTCACACCCCCCAAACCCCCCCTTTTTTCCCCCCAAAATTCACTTTTCCCCCCCAAAATTCACTTTTCACCCCCCAAACCCCGCATTTTTATTTCCCCAGGCACATCCAGGACACTCAACCCCCCTTCCCACCCCACTCCCCTCCCAAACCCCAAACCCCCCAACAACCCCAAGCAACCCCAACCCCTCAAGCCCCGGAAAACCCGGATCGCTCCCCCACCCCGAACCCACCGGCGAGCCCCCAAAAAGAACCCGAAACCACCAAAAAAGAGCAACTTTCCGTCAAAAAACTCCGCGTGGTTCTCTTCGCCCTCTGCTCCAGCACGGAGCAAGCGGCCGAGCATTTCCGGAACCCTCCGCGCCGGATCCGCCGCTGGCTCCGGCGCTTCCAAGCTTTCCAGGACGACCATCCGGAACTTTCCGAGGGGAAATACCTCAGCCTGGAGGCCGAGGAGAAATTGGCCGAGTGGGTTTTGACCCAACGCGAGCAGCAGCTGCCGGTCAACGAGGAGACGCTTTTCCAAAAAGCCACGAAGATCGGGAGATCTTTGGAAGGAGGATTCCAGATTTCCTACGAGTGGGCGGTGAGGTTCATGCTCCGGCACCACCTCAGCACCCACACCCGCCGAGGAGTTTCCCACCCTCTTCCCAAGGAAATCCAAGGGAACGCCGGAGCTTTCATCGAGTTCGTGCAGCGCCAGATCCACACTCAGGATCTGCCGCTCTCCATGATCGCCGCCGTGGATGAGATCTCGCTTTTCCTGGACGCGGAAGTCTTGGGAAGCGACGAGCGCAAGGAGAACGCGCTGCAGACGGTGGGGAACGGAGAGCCCTGGTGCGAGCTGGTGGTGACGGTGCTGGCCGACGGCGGCGTCCTCCCCGCCCTGCTCATCTCCAGGGGTCACCTCCCCTCTCCCGCCGCCGTTCCCAAATCCATCCTGCTGGAATCCAAGGAGGACGGATGCGGCGACGACGAGATCATGGAATTGTGGGCGGCCATGGTGTGGAGGAAACACACGGAATGCCGAGGAGGAGGAGGAGGAGGAGGAGGAGGAGGAGCTTCCAAAGGGATGTTGGTCCTGGATTGCCACCGGACGCATCTCTCCGAGGAGGTGCTGGCCGTGCTCAGCGCGGCCGGAACGCTTCCGGCGGTTATCCCGGCGGGATGCAGCTCCCGGATCCAACCTCTGGACGTCTGCGTCAAGAGATCCCTGAAAAATTTCCTCCATAAAAAATGGAAAGAACGGGCCAAAGACCTGACGGATCCCGACTCCTCCGCGCTGCTCCAGCTGCTGCTGGGGTGGTTGGGAGAAGCTCTGGAAATCCTCGGGAATTGCCCGGAGTTGATCCGGAAATCTTTCCTGGTGGCCAGCGTCCTGCCGGGACCGGCCGGAAATTCGGGATCGCCGCGGCGCAACGGCGACGAGCAGGAGGAGCTGATCGCCGCCATGGAGGAGAGGCTGAGAATCGCCAAAAGCGGGGAATCCTCCCCGGAATTCCCGGAAAACGACGATCCCGAGGCCGATCCCGAAATCCTGCACCGGCTCTTCGAGGGGGAGAGCGAGGTGGAGTCGTTCTACGGATTCGAGGAGGCGGATTTGGAGCTGATGGAAGTTTGAGGAATTCCCGAGGTGGGGGAAATAAATTCAAAGAAAAACCAACAAATCCCATTCATCCCGGAAATGCTGAGGGTTTGGAAAAGGTGAAGGAAAAGCGGGAATCGAAGGGATGTTCCCGGGTTTTGGGCCTGAAAATTGAAGGATATTCCCAGGCTTTGGCCACAAAAATGGAAGGATATTCCCGGTTTTTTTGGAGATCCAGACTCGACCCACAAATTGAAGGATATTCCCAATTTTTTGCCCCCAGAAATTTAAAGGATATTCCCAATTTTTTGCCCCCCCAAAAACTGAAGGATATTCCCAAAATTTTGCCCCCAGAACCTGAAGAATATTCCAGGTTTTTGACCCCAGAAATTGAAGAATATTCCCGGTTTTTGACCCCAGAAATTAAAGGATATTCCTGATTTTTGGAGGTCCAAAAACACCCCGAAAATTGAAGGATATTCCTGATTTTTGCCCCAAAAAATTGAAGGATAATTCCCAGTTTTTGCCCCCAGAAATTGAAGGGTATTCCCAGTTTTGTCCCCCAAAATTAAAGGAATATTCCCGACTTTTTGAAGAGCCAAATACCCCAAATTTTGGGGAACATTCCCTATTTTTGGAGGTCCAAACTCACCCCAGAAATTCAAGGATAATTCCCAATTTTTGACTCCAAAAATTCAAGGATAATTCCCAATTTTTAACTCCAAAAATTCAAGGATAATTCCCAATTTTTAACGCCAAAAATTCAAGGATAATTCCCAATTTTTAACTCCAAAAATTCAAGGTTATTCCCAATTTTTAACTCCAAAAATTCAAGGATAATTCCCAATTTTTAACGCCAAAAATTCAAGGATAATTCCCAATTTTTAACTCCAAAAATTCAAGGATAATTCCCAATTTTTAACTCCAAAAATTCAAGGATATTCCCAATTTTTGACTCCAAAAATTCAAGGATATTCCCAATTTTTAGCCCCAAAACAGATGACATTCCCAATTTTCTGAACAAACAGACGAGATCCCAAATTCCCAGCGGATTTTTGGGATTTGGAATTCCAGATTTGCCGTTTCCGCCGATTTTTTCGGGGAGAATTTTCGTGGCTTTTTTTTTCTTTTTTTTCTTTTTTTTCCGATTTTTTGATTTTTTTTAAATTTAAAAATGGAAAAAAAAAAAAACCTGGAAAAAAAAAAAAAAAAAAGGAAAAAAATTTGGATTCCCTGTGTTGGTTTTTCCTTGGAATTCTCTCTCGTGGGTGGATTTTTTGGGAATTTTCTTTACCTCACTTGTACCATAATTCCTGATTTTTTTAGCAGTGGAAATTTGACGTCGTTTTGTGCCCAATTTTTTTTTTTTTTTCCAAGAAAACAAAAAATCCCTGGATTTAACACCCAAAAAAAAAAAAAAATTGGGAATTTTTCTTTATTTTTTTAATTTAACCCCCCCAAAAAAATCCCATTTTTTTTTACAGAAAATTCAGATTGACCGCCAAGATTTGGTTCCTTTTGGGGCGTTTTTAACGAAAATCGGGAATTTTGGTGGAATTTTAGGGAATTTGGCTTGGGAATTATGAAGCCAACATTCCATCCCAGCAATTTTTGGGATTTTCCCACCCTGACATGGATTTTCCCAATTTTTTTTCCCGCCCAAAAAATTCTGCTGGAGGGGCAGAAAAAAACCCAAATTTTCTTTGGATTTCTCCCTTTTTATTTTAAAAAAAAAAATCCTGGAAAACCCTGCCTTCCTTAGGATCGGAAAATCCGGGATTTGGGAATAAAACTGATGAAAAACCCGGAAAAATCCGTCAAAAAAAAAATCTGATTTTTCACTGCCAGCTCCGATTTTTTACCGGAATTTGCATGTTTTTTGGGAAAAATGATTTTTGGTTGTTTTTTTTTTTAAATTTTAAAATATTCTTGGAATTCCCAAATTCCTGTTTTCCCGTAGAATTTGTGGAGTTTTGGTTTTTTTTTTGGTTTTTTTTGGCTTTTTTTCCCAAAGGAAAACGGGAAAAAAAATTCAAAATAATTAAAAAAAAAAAAAAAAGAATTAAAAAAATTCAAAATAAATAAAAATTTAAAAAAAAAAAATTATGGATCAGCTTGGAATTGTACAGGAGTGGAAAACACGGAATAAAACCAGGGAAATGGATTTATAAATAAACGGTGTTTTTATTGTGGAATCAAAAAAATTCCTTCATTCCGGTGGGATTTGGGTGGAAAAATTTTGGGGCTTTAATTCAATATTTAATTAAATTCTTCAAGGTCAGAATTGGGATTTTTTTTTTCTCCATGGAAAATTCCTGGATATTTTTTTTAAGGAAAAGCTGCTGGAGGAACGCTGGGAATGGGGAGGGGAAAAAAAAAAAAATTCCATTTTAATTGGATTTTTGTGGCTTTGGTTATTGAAATATTCCAAGATTTCAGTGAAATTCCCTTCTTTTAATTGAAATATTCCAACATTCTATTCAAAATTTCATTATTTTATCGAAATATTCCAATATTCTATTCGAAATTTCATTATATTATTGAACTATTTCATTATTTTATTGAAACATTCCAAGATTTTATTAGAAATTCCATTATTTTATTGACAGGTTTCATTATTTTATTGAAATATTCTAATATTTTATTGAACTATTTCAATATTTTATTCGAAATTTCATTATTTTATTGAAATATTCCAATACTTCACTAAAAATTTCATTATTTTATTGAACTATTTCATTATTTCATTGAAACTTTCCAATATTTTATTCGAAATTTCATTATTTAATTGAACTATTTCATTATTTTATTAGAAATTTCATTATTTTATTGGAATATTCCAATATTTAATTGAACTATTTCAATATTTTATTCCGAATTTTATTTTTTTATTGAACTATTTCATTATTTTATTCAAAATTTTATTATTTTATTGAACTATTTCATTATTTTATTGAAACTTTCCAATATTTTATTGAACTATTCCAATATTTTATTCAAAATTTCATTATTTTATTAGAAATTTCATTATTTTATTGAAACATTCCAATATTTTATTCCAAATTTTATTATTTGATTGAAATATTCCAATATTTTATTAGGAATTCTATTATTTTATTAGAAATTTCATTATTTTATTGAAATATTCCAATATTTTATTGAACTATTCCAATATTTTATTAGAAATTTAATTATTTTATTGAAATATTCCAATATTTTATTCCAAATTTTATTATTTGATTGAAATATTCCAATATATTATTAGAAATTTCATTATTTCATTAGAAATTTCATTATTTCATTAGGAATTTCATTATTTTATTAGAAATTCCATTATTTTATTGAAACATTCCAATATTTTATTCCAAATTTTATTATTTGATTGAAATATTCCAATATTTTATTAGGAATTTCATTATTTCATTAGAAATTTAATTATTTTATTGAAATATTCCAATATTTTATTGAACTATTCCAATATTTTATTAGAAATTTAATTATTTTATTGAAATATTCCAATATTTTATTCCAAATTTTATTATTTGATTGAAATATTCCAATATATTATTAGAAATTTCATTATTTCATTAGAAATTTCATTATTTCATTAGGAATCTCATTATTTTATTAGAAATTCCATTATTTTATTGAAACATTCCAATATTTTATTCCAAATTTTATTATCTGATTGAAATATTCCAATATTTTATTAGGAATTCCATTATTTCATTAGAAATTTCATTATTTTATTGAAATACTCCAATATTTTATTAGAAACTTCATTATTTGATTAGAAATTTTATTATTTTATTGAAACATCCCAATATTTCATTCGAAATTCCATAATCCCGCAATTCCCAGGAATTCAGAGCACCAAAAATACCCAAAAATAGGGATTTTAACCCAATTTATTCCCAATTTTTTCCCCTGAGTTTCCAAAGGAATATTGGGATCATGCCGGAATTCCCGGAATATCCTGGAAAAAGAGCGGGAAAGTCGGATTTGGGGGAAATTTGGGATTTTTTTGGGGGGAAAAATTCCATGGAATGCCCCAAAATTCTGGCCAGGGTTTAGGAATTCCCGGGATCCATCCCCAAAAAGGGCTTTTCCCACCTCAAGAATTCCGTGATTTTGGTAAAAATCGGGATTTGGAGCCACAGAATTCCCGAATTCCGGCGTTTCTCGGGGGAGAATTCCCAAGTTGTGGGTTTTTTTTTTGTTTTTTGAGGAATCCCGAAGAACGAACACACACGGATCGGTCTTAAAACGATGGATTTTATTCCCAAAAAAAGCTGGATTCGCCGTTCCAGAGGGGAAAAAAGGGATGGGGAAAAACCAGGGGTTTGAGGTGGTCGGGCTGAGGTCGGAGCAGCTCTCGGAGATCACTCGAAACCGCTGGAAAAACGGGAAAAGATGGGAGAAAACGGGGGTGAGAGGGGCAGGAAAAACACCTGGAACACCTGGATACACCCGGGAACACCTGGATACCCTCAGGAACACCTGGATACCCTTGGGAACACCTGGATACACTCAGGAACACCTGGATGTGTCCCCAGGAACACCTGGATACCCTCAGGAACACCTGGATCTGCCCCATGGAGTGGGAATTGTCCCCCAGGAACACCTGGATTCCCCCAGGAACACCTGGATACCCCCAGGAACACCTGGATACCCTTGGGAACACCTGGATACCCTCAGGAACACCTGGATCTGCCCCATGGAGTGGGAATTGTCCCCCAGGAACACCTGGATTCCCCCAGGAACACCTGGATACCCCCAGGAACACCTGGATACCCTTGGGAACACCTGGATACCCTCAGGAACACCTGGATCTGCCCCATGGAGTGGGAATTGTCCCCCAGGAACACCTGGATTCCCCCAGGAACACCTGGATACCCCCAGGAACACCTGGATGTGCCCCCAGGAACACCTGGATGCCCCCAGGAACACCTGGATACCCCCAGGAACACCTGGATACCCCCAGGAACACCTGGATGTGCCCCCAGGAACACCTGGATACCCCCAGGAACACCTGGATGTGCCCCCAGGAACACCTGGATACCCCCAGGAACACCTGGATACCCCCAGGAACACCTGGATGTGCCCCCAGGAACACCTGGATACCCCCAGGAACACCTGGATGTGCCCCCAGGAACACCTGGATACCCCCAGGAACACCTGGATACCCCCAGGAACACCTGGATACCCCCAGGAACACCTGGATGTGCCCCCAGGAACACCTGGATACCCCCAGGAACACCTGGATGTGCCCCCAGGAACACCTGGATACCCCCAGGAACACCTGGATACCCCCAGGAACACCTGGATACCCCCAGGAACACCTGGATGTGCCCCCAGGAACACCTGGATACCCCCAGGAACACCTGGATGTGCCCCCAGGAACACCTGTATACCCCCAGGAACACCTGGATACCCCCAGGAACACCTGGATACCCCCAGGAACACCTGGATGTGCCCCCAGGAACACCTGGATACCCCCAGGAACACCTGGATGTGCCCCCAGGAACACCTGGATACCCCCAGGAACACCTGGATACCCCCAGGAACACCTGGATGTGCCCCCAGGAACACCTGGATACCCTTGGGAACACCTGGATACCCTCAGGAACACCTGGATACCCTCAGGAACACCTGGATACCCCCAGGAACACCTGGATGTGCCTCAGGGAGTGGGAATTGTCCCCCAGGAACACCTGGATACCCTTGGGAACACCTGGATACCCCCCGGAACACCTGGATGTGCCCTCGGGAACACCTGGATGTGCCTCAGGAACACCTGGATGTGCCCCCAGGAACACCTGTATACACTCAGGAACACCTGGATGTGTCCCAGGAACACCTGGATGTGCCCCTGGAACATCTGGATACCCCTGGGAACACCTGGAACACCTGGCTGTCCCTCAGGGAGCAGGAATTGTCCCCCAGGAACACCTGGATACCCTTGGGAACACCTGGATCTGCCCCATGGAGTGGGAATTGTCCCCCAGGAACACCTGGATACCCCCTGAAACACCTGGATACACTCAGGAACACCTGGATGTGTCCCAGGAACACCTGGATGTGCCCCAGGAAGACCTGGATACCCTCAGGAACACCTGGATGTGCCTCAGGAACACCTGGATACCCCCGGGAACACCTGGATACACTCAGGAACACCTGGATGTGCCTCCAGCTAGACCCGTA